TGTGCCCGGAAGCAGCCAGGTTGGCTGGAACTTGCCAGCACAGCACCCCCAGGGTCCTCGTCTTCCTTTCCCTCCTCGGCCCAGACAGATCACCCCATGTGTCCCCCCCCACACCCAGAGAGGAGATGCCAGCCCCACAGGCAAGCTGAGGGCTGTCCTCTTGATAAGTACCTAGAAAAACTAAGGCAACACTCAAATCCCAGTTATTAAATCTGGGAAAAGACAAAATATAATCGCAGCATATCATGTGGCTGCCTTCTCACACTTACACAGTTACAATAATGTTCGCAGTGAACATTAATCTAACTGACATTTTTGCTTAACTACACGGGAAGGATGGAGGAACGGAAAATGGACGGAGGGGCGGGACCTCAACTCCCATCGTCCTTCTTAGAAAATCAATAATATCCACATTGAAAACTCAAAAAGAAGTGCCAGGAGCCCAGGACTTATAAATATGGAGAGAAATGACAGAAGAAGAGCCAAGAACAGCTAAGGGAAGGTGGAGGGCAGAGAATGAGCATTTTTTCATGATAAGCCCAGAAATACCATTTCACTTTATGCATCTGTTATTATTTTGAGAGGAAAAAAAGAGCCATTAAAGTAGAAAAGTGATAAAAGGCACAGGGGACCTCCAGAGTGAATAAACTCGACACCTGACGGGTGCTGTGTGGGAGATTTCTACGGACAGGTGAGGATCCCAGAGAGGCATAAAGCTTGGTCCCATAGCAAGGTCCTTCCCTCCTGGCCAGGGCTGTGGCAGCTGCCCCGCGGTCTGACCAAGGCTCCTTCTTCTCCATGATTTTAGGAACATGCTCATTTATTTATTTAGGTCATGTCACAATACCAAAAAACTCAGCGAAAGCCAAACAGCTCACTGTGCTTCCTTGGTGTTATACAGACCTCTTCCCCAAGTCCACGTGCAAACTCTTTTCATCCTTTGCCTTTAAAAGCCTTAGAGCTTAAAGTGTAAATTAGTTGAAAAAGAAAAAGCTTCTGAATGATAAGTTGGTGGTGTATAGCAAAAGATAAAAATACGGGCCCTGATCACACATTTCTACTTCCAGGAATGTATCCTAGTCTTTGGAAAACTGGGCAACACGGTTTGTAACCATGATTTCCAACCCTAAAGGCATGTGAGAATACTGACTTCTAGGCCTCTCCCCCAAGAGAGCCTGATTTAATTGTTCTATGATGGGGCCTGGGCATCTGTACTCTGCAGTCAAGATAGATAACTCTGGGATTATAATAAAACGGAAAACAGTCTAAATACTTCATGGAGAGGACTGGTTAAATCCATCACAATAGGACCCTACAATGGAATCCTAAGGAGTCTTAAAATAATGTGGCAGAAAGAAGATATTTCATTAAACATATTTATTGACATGGGCAGATATTTACAATGTGTTATTAAGTAAAAAAGAAAAGAAAAAACAGGTTCTACGAACTTTGTATGTGATATGATCTACTCCCGGAAAAAGTGTATATATAACAGAATCACCACTATTCCAGAATGAAATGCAACATTGTCAGTAGCCATAACATCTGAGTGTGGAAAGATTTAAATATTTTTGTTTATGTGTATGTTCTAAAATTTCCACAACAAAGTATTACGGATACCACCCTCTCAAGTTCCAAAATGCCTTGACATACCTCTTGTAAGCTTTAAACATTTTAGCACTGTTCATACAGATTTCAGCTCACACCCACCCTGCTGCAACCAATAAACCCACACACATGTTCCCAGACTTTTCCCAGGGTACTCTACTGCCTGCCAAGTCTCTGGGGGGTGGAGGGGGGAGAACAGCCCGTGGGTTTCATCTTTCCTTTGCAGGTAACAACATTCCGCTGCCGCAAACCCAAAATATCCTTGTAATTTTGTTGCACCCCCTGACCTTCTAAATTCACCTTTCAAAAAAAAATAAATTAAATTAAATTAATTAAATTAAATTAAATCACCTTTCCAAGTCTGAGGGTCCTGAAGGGAGCACCTAGATGATTGTGAGGAAATCCCAAGCACAGCCTCAATCCCTCCCATTCCAGCCCCACTGAACCATTCAGCATTCCTGGTGGAAGATGCTGGAGCACTAGAGACAGAGGGGTGGGGAGGAAGAACCAGTTCTAATAGACTTTCAGAACAAATATGCAGCTTCCTAAGAAGCTTGCAACATGAGGAAGGGGCTGAGTTTCAGACCACTGGAAGGGGACAGTCTCCTGTTCTCAGCAACAATAGCACGGTCCCATTGCCTTCGTCCTTCACGCTAACCACCTAATGCCCGCTCTCTCCTCGAAACCCCTTCTTGGATTTCTTACGTCAAAGCTGCCCACTAAAAAGAACCACGCTGCAGCATTTCAAGTAGTTATCTTCAGCAGTTTTTGAAACTTAAGATAAAAGCCATTACAACCAAACACATGAGAAAAAGGCTTTAACACGCGGCCGGGTTTGAACAGTCTATTCTCCGGGTCCGGCCCCTCGCCAACCTTGCAGCAATCAGGCAGGACACTGGCCCAAGCAGGAAATCTAAAATTAGATTTTACTACCTATAACGGAGGATTTATGGGATGGCTTAATTAGCAGTCTCAGGACTAAAACCCGAAGTGGAGGAATGAAAACATCTATCTGGACATACCCAGGGAGCCCGCACGCCCTCCATGAACTCACCTACATTCAGGGAAGGGGGACAGAGTGAGGACCCACCTCTTCCCTCTCCTAAGCTTGTCACGGGCCACAGCCAACAGCACGGTGGTACCTGGTCCTTTTATTTAAGAGGCAAGGGGAGGTCTTGACGCCCCACCAAGAAACTAGGTGTTCTGAAGGTCAAAAGAACCCATTCAATCCAGTCCTCTCCTGAAATACCCAAACCACAAGAACAACACTCAAAAGGTCAAAAGAAGATTCTGCTCGGCCACAATGTATGCGAGAGTGTTATCGTTGCATCTGTGGTTGCCACATTCGCTGCTGGCAAGATCCTGTGAGCACTCCCCCAGGACCATTCTTGGTCAATGGAAGGATAATGTAAATTCCATGTGTTCGGAGAGTTTTCAAGTAAATATGAGAAAAAAACAAAGGGCTGGAGCCTGTGTTGGCTGGGGACAGGGGCTGGGTAACAAACCCCATCCCCTTGAGGGGGGGTACCCACAGCTGAGTGCCCGCAGAAACCACTCCCGGGAAGGGGTTTGGAAGGCAGGGGTCACTGGAGACCGGTGTGACCACACACGGTCCCTTTCTGTGCCCCGCACCGTTCCCCTCAACAAATGTTAGCGGGCTCGGACATCTTCCCTCCAAGTGTCTCCAGCCACACTCTCCCCTCTCTGGGTGGCGTCCCTGGACCCAGCATGGGGTCAGATATGCCAGACTGCATCAGGGCCAAGCCAGAAAGAGAAATGAAAAAGCAGCGACTGTGGTCGGCTTCTTGACCAGTGAAAACTATGGCTCCAGTGAGCAGGGTCACTTTTCTCTAGGCAAGTCAACATGACAATATTCCTACGGAGGAGAAGAGCCCCTTGAAAAGAAACTTCCGTTTATTACCACACACAACAAAATGGGGAGACATCTTTGCTTTTAAAAGTCTTTTCTTTTTTTTAATTTAAGTTCAACTAGCCAACATATATCATCAGTTTTTGATTTAATGTTCAATGACTCATTAGTTGCATATAACAAAAATCTTATTTTCTTAAAGATTTCAACTTTCCAGGATAAAAAGCACTTTTCTGAAGCCCCACTTGTCTTGTGAGGGCTGGTATTTAGGTGTGGTTTCTTAGTATCCTGGAGCGTTCCTATATTGGCATAGCAGGTGCCTCGGTCTTTAGAAATCCCTTATAAGGAGATCAGCATAGAACAGTCTTATTCTACCTGAGTAATTAGCAGGAGAGTAAAATTCAGTACAATTCGGGTCCTCCTCAGACTTCTGTGAATGTGGTCTAGGAAGAGACAGTTTAACCTTCTCTCTAGGCTCTGGTCATGCAGTTATCACAATAGAGGATTATTGTGATATATGTATTAAAATATCATGTAATATACACACAATCTATGTAATATTGTATAACATATTCATATATTCATGTAATATTATATAATATCATTCCTATTTATATGACATATTCATATAGTATATATTTTCATATAATATATAATATATTCATATTCATATGTTCATATACTCATAAGAGCTCACAGCCATTAAAAGGTTTGGAGAGGAAAAATGCCACCCAGAAATCATATGGAATAAAACAGAGCCAAGCAGGGAAACAAGTCTGAAATGACCTAGGGAACGAAACAGTGTTTGATATTTACTCTTTCTGGATACAGATGTGGAGGGGCTTTGTGTCATCACTGACCCCGGTTCATTAGGATCATCAATGTTTTCTAAGTTCCTGGGCTGTTCCACAGTCAAAAGTCCCAATGACTAAGTTCAAAGAGAATTCCCCAGAAAAACCACAGCAAAAATAAGTGTCAGCTATAGTCGTAGAAGGTTGGATATATAGCCTATAATATAAATACATGTCACGTAAGTAAGTGTTTAGGCACACACTGTGGTATGTCATCTAACGTGACCTGATTACCAAAAACACAAAAACAAAAACAAAAAACAGATACCGATTTTACTACTGTGGCACCCACTGTGGGAGGAGTCGTAGTGTGAAGAGGTATTTTTAGTGATTTTTAAGGGCAAGCATTCATAAACTTCCAAATCTGTGCCGCATGTGACCATGACAGAGCATTTGGTCATCCTGCTGCTAATTGTCAAAATTCTGACTGTGGGTCACCGCTGACTCAAACTCATGTCTGTCTGTAAGACATTAAAAAGAGTCCATTTGGAAAGAAGAAGAGGGGAAAGTTTAAGGAGAGCAAGCTTTCATAACTAGCTGGTGCTTGCTGGGAGTTAAGCACCTCTTAAAACACAGACAGCAAAGACAAAAAGAATCCACGCCAACGTACCTTTCACATTCCAAATCCAGGGCACAGACAGCGCCGGGGGTGGGGCAGAGGGAGCCTCGGGGTTCTGCGGGGCAGCGGGGAGATGCTCGCATAACCACTTGGATCTCCTGCCTCAGATGGAAGCAAGCTTCCTTGTGATGTTCCAGAAGGGAGTGTACCAGCAGAAAATACCGTGACACTTCCTATACCACGAGCTGGAGGTAAGCATTTCAGTAAGAAACTTCATCTGTGTGCCTTCGTTCCTCCCAGTAACATCATTTCTCAGCTGGCCCTTCTAGAAAATCGGGGACCGTGCCCTCCCCGGGAGAACAAGAGTGTTATTTGAGGGGCTGCTCTGGGGAGGAGAAACTCAAATGCGGCGCTAGATTCTTCCCGAGCTGTGCTGGTTTCACAACACACATTTCTCTCCCTTCCTAAGAATCTGGCTTTTCCCTCATGCACTTTTTTTTTTTTTTTTTCTCCTATTTTCGGGATGGTTGGGTCACTTCTAGTAACTGTGCTAGAGCACGGCTGTCAGCCCCGGGCGTGGGCGGGCCCTTCCGACTCTGGTCTGCCTCACGGGACACTCACCCTCCGTCTCTGAGTCAGTTGCTTTTCCATGGAAATACTATTCAATGATCATTTTCATAAAAATTCATGCTGGAGCAGTTTTGTTTCTCTTGACACTGACCCAAGTGTTTTTCTCTTCTGATTGATTTTTGGTTTCAAATCAGCATGTCTTTTTTGGTTGTTTATTTTTTAATATATTTCCATCTTTACTGGAGGGGAAACATTAGCGTCAATGTGATCCAGCTGCACCAGATCGGCCACACGACCCGCCTTTATACATCCAAGGGGACGGGAGAAGGCTGTCTGGAGAAGCTGGAGGGCTGCTCCCGCCCAGACTCAGAAGGAAAGGCGGTCTTTCCAGGGGCTACCATGCGAGGGGCCACCGGCCACTGCAGGCTTGTTTTTGCAGCGTGGGTGTTTCGGCAGCCCCTCTGATCTTGTCCACCCTGAGTCTGATAAGAATCCTACCACCTTTTCGCGTGTGGCAAGAGTGTGTGGTCCTGGAGTTTGCAGGTTTAACAGAGCCCTCCGAGAAATACAAAGGGAGCCGTCAATTGCCTTTTTCTTGATCACTGTTTTCAGGCCACACTCTGGGGCAGATGCCCTCTCTTCTCTTAAAGGAAAGCTTTTTCAAAGCTAAGCACGGGCTTGCGTACTCCCAAAGAAGCTAAAATCAGTTCTCGGAGGATGAGAAAAAGTCTTCACTCTTTTCATGTCTAAAGTACAGACTATACCTGAATGCAGATATATGTGTGTGTGTATAATGTAAAAATCCTAAACAGATAAACAGGGTGTGTGTGGTATTAGATTTGCATGTGGGGGGAAGGGGCATTAGGGGGAAAATGTCTGAAAAATCCATCTGCAGCAGACTGGTCAGGAAAAAAGTTGATTAAGTTAATTTAAGGCTAAGGGTACCTGCATCAGAAAACATTGTTTCTTCTGGAGGGGTTTAGCACCAAAGCCTCAGTGACAAGCAAATGCTGTCTGCACTTATTCCCAACTGCTTAGGATGCCCCCATCACTATTCCTATAAGAGTGATGCTACCCTGATAGGCTCTTTTGCCAACAGCTCACACACACATCACATCTTGCTTTAGAAGCCAGTGGGTGCCGAGCACAAGAAACAAAACCAGAGAAACAAAAAAAAAAATGAAAAAGGACAGAAATAAAGAGCTAATGATCTGAGACAAATGTAGCCGATGAGTGTACTTACTCGAAAACCTCAATCTAGTTTTTAAGTGTCTACCAACTGAAGATTTCTCGGGACATCTTTTCATTCCCTATTAAGTACCCAAGGCAGCAATCTTTGCCTTGCCTTAGTCTGTTACGAATCTTGCTTATTCCAAAAGGGAAGCATGCATGTAACGTTCTCAAATACATGATATGCAATTCTTATTTCACTTGCTTGGAGCAAAGACTAAAAACTAGTTTTCAGTCTTGTTTCCCTTGCCAGTGCAAACAGAACGAATGCTGATCCTCATTTCCACGACTTCTTTAATCTAGGGTGGACCAGAATTTATTCCCCACCTCTCAGGACGTAGCCTGTATTTCCAACAGGGCCAGCCATGATGCTGCTTCGCGTCTTCCTGACCTGGACTGGCCATGTTCTTGCCAGAGAAAGAAATGGAGTCGTTTTACTCCTCATCTCCGAAGTTATGTACACCAGCATCACCCGCTATAGAAATTACATGGCGACGAGTTCAAAGGGTAATTTATGGAGCATGGACAGTAAGTGGGGTGTGTGTTCTGTCCTTCCTAAAAAATCCCAGACGAGGGCAGACTTAGGAATAATTTTCAAAAATCAGGAAGTCTGCGAAAATCCCCCCACTGTCTTATAAAGACTGCATGCTGCTCATCAAATCTCCTAAGACCTCGGGGTCCCTCCCCCTCTGAGGAGGTCCCTGGACCTGACTCCTAATGGCCAAAACCAAAGAACGCAGGCACCTGCCTCCAGCAAATCCACTCAGATTCCCTCTCATTCCCAGACACAAATTTCCATGAAAACCAGACACAGGACAGAAAGCAGAGCAGGATATTCCAAAATCGCTTCAGATCTGCAGCCTGGTTTCATTAGACTCTCCGGCTTGTTTCTTTTAGCCCCTGTGCATGCCCACGGCAGGTGAAATGTCGGCACTGCCGTCTACACCCATGAAGTCCGTAGGCTTAAGGAAACCCGCCCGGTGCAGGAGAGATAGGAGACTGTGGTGCCGAGGGGGACATGGGTCTGTCCAGGAGTCAGCAGGAGGAGGGAGGCCCTTAGTGATGCTCTGAATCCTTGACGAGGTGGCTCTACGGGGTGTTACTTGTCATGTCACTGAACCCATCCCCACCGCCCTAGAGCATACCAAAGCTGTTCAGCCCGAAAGGAAAAACTCTACAGTTGTCGTTATTAATCCAAGTCTAACTAAAGATCGCAGCTTCCAAGAGCACACGTTGGCCACACGTTGGTTATTTCTCACCCACGAACACCCAACCTGAGAAGCTGATAGGGAATGCATTTGGGGGTGGGTAGGAGGCAGCCCCGCTGGCTTTCTGTCCCTTTCGTCATGCAACAATCCTGCACTCAGCACTTGGTCTCCAAGGTCCTCCCTGATGAAGGCGCAAGGACCCAGCACAGAAGCAACTGGACACTAACCCCTTGCAAGCCACCAGGCCAGCCTCAGGTTCTAGTGGCCAGCCATGACACGGATTTTCCTCCAAGACTTCAAGCGCATGTGGCTTACATCAACGTGGTCTCGCACCCACGCTCCACGGAGACCACTTGCCTCGCACATTCTCCTATTTACACATGTTCACTGAACGCAACCCCAAGTGAATTATTTAAGAAGTCTTAATGTGCTTCAGACTTCTCAAATAGAATTTCGACCTTAAATTAAATGCGTACTCCCGTGGGAAACCGGGAGGAGGAACTCAGCCCACGGCATCAGGTGGACAGGCAGCGGCCCCAGAAGAGAATTTCAGTTTACCTCTGGAAGGATCTCCTCTGCTGGCCCAGGCTCCGTGTTGAACAGAACAGGATTCGACTGCAAAACTGCATTTGTTATAGCGGAGCCGACTGCACGCAAGAGATTTATCTTTATATATTTATATATTTATAAAGATAATCTTGCTTTTTGGTTTGTCCCTCAATGGCCTTCCAAGGAAGCACCCGAGCCACCAAAGCGGGGTCACAGCATAGACGAGAACACACAGCCCTGTTCCTTAGTTTTGAGGTTTGGGTTTCTTTTTTTAAATAAATCCGAATATTCTTTGTCCCTTGTGTTCAGTTGCCAATAACTGTACATATGAGGTGTTAAATTTGATATAGGGATTAGAGTGGAGAAAAGCCACATGCATTTTACTTAACACAGTTTGGGGTTTTTTGTTTGTTTGTTCCTTTACAGTAAGCATTGCTGGGAACAATGCAGCAGAACAAGGACAGGGAAATTCCCTCAACATGCACTAGTGATAATGAAAGCAAACCATTTACCAAGGGAGCACAGACAAGGAGTTTGCTGCAGACCAGGCACTGGAGCTGAAAACAAATTTCTTATTCAGGGAAATGTGAATGAGTAAGAACCTACAGTGAGGTTTTTTTTTTTTTTACTTTGCATAAAAATTAAATTAAATCTGAACTCTAAAGCATGCATATGGTAAAGAGCTAAGTTATTCAAAGACACATCACACACAGCACGTTGATAATACCAAGTAGCATATGAACGACACGACTGACTTTGTAAGACTTTGCCATGAACTTGAGTGTTACCTAAAGAGGGAGAGGCCTTGTTAGATGAACCCGCCATTACCAAATTGTGTGAATACGTGCTCTTGAAAGTTAATCCTGCAGCAATCCACCTCACAGATGTTCTTCCTTTCCCAGGGATAGCAGCACCTCAAGAATGCTATTCTTCCAAATGATAAATTGCATTATTCTCAAGAAACTGTCTGCATGCAAAACAAGAAATCTGTCATCATCCTGGAATTATATTTAAACAGGGAATATTCGAGGAAGATTTTTACTCATGAAGTTGTCAGAGCATGATTCCAATAAAAGCAGCACCACGCGTTACCAGGCGTGCAAAGCTTCTGCCTGAAAGTATTTACTTTGTTCCTTAAAAGTATGTAGTGAGTCAACAGGAAATTATATATACATCTTCCCTCCGATTAGAAAACTGCAAATTGAGTACTAAATATGTCATGCTAGCACTCAATTTCTTATTGCTATCATATCTGGCTCCACAGTGATACGCTGGGTGGGATCCAAAGGAGACACCAAGTAACAAAATTCTACTCCTGTGTCGAGTTATATAATGGATTTCATGGTTACTGATTATATTAAATATAATCCCCTAGCCTAAGATTCTAAACCTGCACTGTCTAATCATACAACAACCACTAGCCACGTGTGGCCACTGAGCCCTTGAAATATGGTCAGTCCAGACTGAGATGTGTTGTAAGTGCAAACTCCACACTGGAGTTTGAAGATTTAATATAAAACGTAATAATATAAAATGCCTCACCAATATTTATATGCATTGCATTGAAATGATAATATTTTGGACATGTTGTGTTACATGAAATAGATTATTAAAATTAATTTAACCGGTTTCGTTTTCTTTCTAATGTGGCTACTGGAAACTTTAAACATTGGCCCCTGGAAATTTTAATGTGGCTACTGGAAAATTTAGAACGAGCCATGAGACTTGCGCTCCACTTTCTCTGCCCAGCGTTGCTGCCTTGATTGACCTTCCACCGTCTCTGCCCCTCTGGCCCCTGCTTCCTCCTTGTCACTTTCGGGAGTGGGCCCTCCTCTCTGACCAAGGGAGTTCTGGAACTCGATTCTGCGAGTCCTTACTACCTGTGTCCAGCACTCCCAAGCCTCACCCTGATATTCCGGAAAATGGGGGCAATAAGGGCCCCTCCTTCAAAGAGCTGTGGTGGGGGTGACTCTGACAACCCACAGCCCCAGCCTCCACCATCTGGTGCAGACATTGCCGTTAGGATCCTGCAAACACCACACTCACTCTCCCTTCCCTGTTGCAAGACCATTTCATTCCCTACCTTGCAACTTCACACTTGGGATACTGAGATAAGTGTCTAGATTGGTCCCTCCAAAACCGGGGAGGGCCCTGTGGGTCCCATGCTACATGACCCAGCTCCTGGGCAACACTTCCAATGCTCCTAGCACCAGCAATGCCTGACTCCCCTGCCCTGCCCGCCAGCCCCCCTACCCACTCCCCCCCAGCCCTGCCTAGAGAGCCAACACAGGGCACGGGGCAGCTCTAATGCCTCCTCCCTCGGGAAGCACTCTCTGATCTTCCTACGGTGTGGTTTAGATCACTCTTCGTACGATTTTTGTAAGATGGGCTATTTTATTTATACTCTACCTTGTTTAAAAAAAAAAGATTTAAAGTGATCTACAAGGATATATGCAATATAACAAGGCCTTTAAAAACTCAGAAATAGAGGCACAATAAATACTAAAGATAGAGCTAAAGAGAAACGAGGGTCAGAGCAGACGGTGGGAGCTAAGACCATGGGAGCCCAGCGGGCAGGCGGTGGGGGCCACGTGCTGGAGCTGGGCCACCCAGCCAAAGGCTCACACAAGTACTCCTGATGCTGAGACTGCAAATGAAGTTCTCCCGTCGGTCCATAAGAGATCAGGGCTTGTGCGATGGGAGAAGAAGCTTGCTCTGTGTGTTGCATGGGTGGTCTCTGCCATGGCCCCCAAACAGCACATCAGAGCACTTGACGTAGAAGCCCCGCAGGGGCCCCGGCTCACCGTCACACCGGCCTGGTCTGAGCAGGTAGCACTATTGAATGAGCCACTTTTGTTAGCATATGAAGTCACCGCTCTCTAGATCCCGTGGCACGTGGCTTCACTCCCCCCTTAGTCCCTTTCCGTATCTCAACTTCCTCAGGATATAACCTGAGGCTTCCCCCAGTGCCCTCCCTGAGAGGGGTCTTGCGTAGAATATCAGGCAATAACATAGTCTACGAAGCAACTTGCCACTCCCCGATACAGTCTGCACGTTCTAGTCTCTCTCCCTGTACTTGCCTTTCCGTGACCTGGAATGCCCCTCCTCCGCTGGAGTCCTGAACCTTCACAGCCTGGATCAAATCTGACCACAGACCAATCTGCCTATCAGCATTCCCAGCCTTCCTGGGCATGCCTCTTGCCTTACATTAATTTCCACCTGCAGATATTTATCCCAAGGACACTGCTTTCGGAGTGAATACTATTAGCTACTTGGAGTGGAAAGGGCTAGAGTTTTGTTTACACGTTGTCAATACGACTAGTTGAAAAGAGATGGGATGTCTGGGTGGCTTAGTCGGCTAAGCATCTGCCTTCGGCTCAGGTCATGATCCCAGAGTCCTGGGATCGAGTCCCGCGTCCGGCTCCCTGCTCAGTGGGGAGTCTGCTTTACCTTCTCCCTCTGCCCCTCCCCCCTGCTGTGCGTGCTCTCTCTCTCTCTCCCCCTCTCTCTCTCTGACAGATAAATAAAACCTTAAAAAAAAGAATAATTCAAGCGGGTCACTAATCAGGAGTCAGACAAGTAGATCGGTGAGCTCCACACTGAAATTTTCTGGCTTTCCACCATCATATTCACAGCTGTTCTTCCAATCTCTAGACATATCCAGTGCCTTCGTAGTCTCAAATCAACCCATGTTCCCCACGTCTCTCTGTGGCCAGTGCTCCTCATGCAATAGGTGATCAAGAAGTTTTGACTGAGAAATGTGTCCCCAGGTTGCTTAAAATTATTTAAAGTTAACATAATTGAATGCTTCATTTTTGCAAAGAAAATGTTTATGCTGAAGCTAACTGTAGTTATAAACGTGTTATTAATATGCACACAAATGTAACCCCTTCTCTGTCTCCTGGTAGCTTACTGTGGGGTCTACATACTTACGGGATGATTTTATTTTATTTTATTTTATTTTATTTTATTTTATTTTATTTTATTTTATTTTATTTTAAAGATGTATTTATCTGAGAGAGAGAGCTCGCACGAGTGGGGGCTAGGGGTAGAAGGAGAGGGAGAGAGAATCTCAAGCAGACTCCCTGCTGAGTGCAGAGCCCGACGCGGGGCTCAATCTCACGACCCCCAGATCACGGCCTGAGCCGAAACCAAGAGTCAGACACTGAACCAAATGAGCCACCCAGATGCCCCTGGGATGATTTTATTGACTTACCTCTGGTTTTACAATGTTAATATGGAGTATTTGGGAGAAACTGTGCTTGTGGGGCGTTCTGTTTAACCGCCTGTGTTTAGAAGTCTTAGAAAATTGCAAAAAATAAATCAAATTTTATCATGAGATACGAGGCTAAGCCGCCTCAGAACCAACAGTTTTGGCTATGAGATCCTCTCATTTTGATACGTGAAGCAACTATCAATCATCTCTTCCTCTGCCTCCACAGCAAGGGCTTTCAGCTGGGTTTCAGAAACTGGAGTAAATATTGGTAATATGCCGACTTAACGCACCTTCTCCAAAAAAGACCCACAATATTCCCTGGGATTTGATATTTATTGTCATTATTTCTATTTTAGAACTCTGTAGTGAAGTAAATTTTACCGCCAGGGTCAAAGAGACTAGGAAGTACTTTTCGATACCGAAGAAGCAAATTTTCCTCCACTTTTGCTTATTCTGTCATCTTGCCGCTGAATCTTGCACTGCAAAAAGAGCAAGCCTTGCACAAGACAAGTTTAAATTTTGTGCAATTAGAGACCCAGATTTGTAAATCTGGCAGCCGGCTCACATCAGCTTTGTGAGGTTGGATATAATTTTAATGAGAATGCATTCGAAGCATGAGATCTTAGAAGGTTCCTGAGCTGGCAGCTTCTCTTCTCCACGTTTTTTTATCTTCCCCTTCCTAATAAAAGGAACTTCAGCTTTCTAATACATTTCATTTAAAAGTTTTATGTTAGAGAGTATGTCAGTGACTTGTGTTTCCAAACATTTTATTTTACTAACACATACTTCTGTTACTATTTACACTCAGCTTGGATCCCAAAGTCCACCTTGTTCCCTCCTGGGGTCCAAAGTTTTGCCTTCCCAGACAGCGCCGTAGTGGTCCCCTCCCCCTCTCACCATGAAGGCATCTTCCAATCTCCTCTCAGATGCCTGAAATCCTCATTCATTCTGGCCTCAAGCAGAATTCCCAGCCTCAGGGATGCACAGAGGGACGAACAGCACTTCCCCATTGCCAATTCCAATGAATTTACTCTGTTAAGACAATGGGTCGTTAACAGATATGGTAAGACCTTGGTTTCTCCTATTGTTCCGAAGAGCCCAGAATCGGATAGCCATCTTATTTCAGACAGCAAGGGGAACACCACTGGCGGATCCATTTTCCACGATGCAGTTTATGAGCACACCAAGGTGGTTACACAAACTTCCCTGCCTGGAACATTCCAATTCAGTCTTTCTTTTACTTTGCAACTTTCGCTAAGTTAGTAAGTCCCAAGAATCCATGACCCATACTTCCACTGCATCACAGAGAAAACGAATCTCTCCACCGGGATTGGGGAATCACTTAACAGAGTGTACACTGCGAAACAGGCCTTCCCTCCTTTGCTCCCCTGCACCCGGACTTGAGAAGCAAACACACGGCTTTACTTTTAAATTAAGATTTGGGAGCCTTTGCCGAACCTTTAATTAAGTGAAAATTAGAGTTTCCTGCTATTAAAAAATGTCACCACACATGAGCCTGTTTTCTTTCCTATTCATTGGAGAGATGCCTTTCTCCCCCTTCCAGTGGGAATAATTGTTGAAATAATATGATTCCTAAAAGGAATCCCACATGAGACACCAGCATGTATGAAAATCTCATTCGCACTAAAACGATTCAAAATTAAAAGGAAGGAGCCAAAGACCTAGTTTTTAAAAACTTTTAGACATGCTAGCGATTTGTCCTTGATCAGATCTCACGTTTAGTTCTCTAGGATTCTAATAAAAACGCGATAAGTTAATTCAAAGGGCTTATTTTACACACTTCAAGGATATTTCAGTCATCACACGCATGGAAAAAAGTCACATAAATAAACTTCCTTTGCACACACTTCTGAACATACACTGAGTCAAGGTAACCGAACCCCTTACTTTCATTGTCAAATTACTATTTCTCATGTGCAATCAGGGTCTTCCAGATTATGACATGTCACTATAAAAATAGAAGAACTTAAAAGTTAGTTTAAATCTAAAACTTAGGCCATTCTTAGACGCACTCTTTAATTTCTTGGTGTCGTCTACATTTTACTTACACTTAAATTTAGCAAAGTAATTTTAGATTGCCCGCCTTCACTACCTTCACTAGATTTTCAATGTTACAAACATGAAGCATTGAATCCTCTCTCCTTTAAATACCAAAATGTTGCAAATAAAAAGTAAAATTAAAAGAGGAATTCCCCCTGGCTCTTTTGAAAAACTGGTTCTGAGGCCAGTCCAACTACTGGAAACGCCTATTATCTACAGAACACTCTGAATCAATAAATCTGAGGTGTATATTGACAATGCAAAATGCACAACTAGCTAACTGACTGCTAATAAGCTGCCTGGAAGTGCAAAGAAGCACCAGGGAGATCATTGGGAGCACCAACAATACAGAGGGATGGTTGGTAGACCTCGTGCATAAGCAATCGCCAATTACCACAGTGATGGGAAGTCCACCCAACCCTCCAGCTCGCGCTACTGTAAGCAGGTATCCAAATTGCCTCAAATTGTGTCCAAAATATTTGAATACTCTTATTGCATCAGCTTGTTTTTCTTACAAATGCCTCTCCAGAGTTTTTAATATCGTTTCAAATTCAAGGTGTAGATCAGAAACAAAAGCTGTATTTTGAAGGACTATATCCCCACCCCCCCACCCCCCAAGCCCAGGAATCCTTAGATGGGACGGGGAAAGCAAACAGAACCCCTTTGGTATTCTCCTCCTCATTGGAAAAGCTTGCCTGGGAAGCAAGGGGTGATGGACCCAGGAGGTGACCTCTTTGTCTCTTTACCTGCATTTAGAGAGATCAACTCCCACCCTAAGGGGAGCAGCATCAAAAGGCTGGGATTTTGCTCACGATGACTTAAGTTACCTTGACCGCATCTTGCTTCCCCCGGCTCCGTAAGTCTCATTAGAAACACACAGGTGCCTCTCTGTCAACAGCCCCTGAATGGAGTTCTATGAAATAGCAGGCAGCACTGATATTTATTCAACATGACAATGTCTCCCCACCACTCCATATCGTATGACAGACGCTGACCTGCTATCCTTTTTCACGGCCGAGTACGAAAAGCCTTTAGAAACATTAGCTCCTCTGTCTTGTGAAGAAATAAATCCCCCTTTTATTATTTGGTGTTGTTGTGTAAGGATAACTAACCAGAAAAAAAATCAGAGCTAATATTAATTTTAGGGAAAAAATTGAAGCTTTTCTAGTATTTATTT